GAACATAGGTACTGGGGAACATAGGTACTGGGGAACATAGTTACTGTACAGGTACAGGGGAACATAGGTATTGAGGAACAGTACTAGAGAACATAGGTATTGGGGAACATAGGTACTGAGGAATATAAGTATTGGGGAATATAGGTATTCGGCAACATAGGTAGAGGAACATAGGTACTGAGGAACATAGTACTGTGAAAAATTTATTGTTTTTAATTATTTTTTGCTTTCTGTGAAGCACTTTGTAATGTTTGTGTCTGTGAAAGGTACTATAGAAATAAAGTTTACTTACTTACTTACTTACTAAAAATAGTGATAGAGCTCGATTGTGAACTCATGATTATTCTTCCCAAACAATCTCCTCTCCTCTCCTCTCCTCTCCTCTCCTCTCCTCTCCAACACTCTGTAACTGGATGGTTTGCATTATAAAATGCACCATGACCATCAGAAAGTTTTCAACCAGCTACTCATTCGAATCATCCTCTCAAACCTGGACCTCCAGATGTGCACACAGGAAATAAATCGGATCGACCCGGTGCTGTCCCTGAATAGACGTAGCACCAACAGCACCACAAGAACAGCTCTATCTTCTATTTCCTCTGCATGACTCTGCAGGTTTTTATTTTTCAGAGCGCTCACCTCTGTGATTGGCAGCTCTCTGCGCTCCTCTGGGTTTTGCAGCAATTTGACCCGGTCCACTGTGTCCACGCCAGGCGCTGCATTGTGTGGTTTTGGTCGTCGGTCGGTGAGGGGGAGCCTCCATCTTTGGATTGGAACGGTCCTGTTTGAGCTTTCACTTTGTTGACAACACAATCCAGTTTCTGTAGTTTCTTCAACATCAGTGTCGCGCTGTGCCTGTCATCACTCCTTATATGATGGTGCAGATATTGATTCAGAGGGCTTTTTAAATGTACTTGTTTGATTTTTAAATGAAAACACACAACTATGTTAGAGATTTGCCACTTTTTTAGCTACAAAATAAAAAAATAAGCTCTCAAAGTTGTCAGCAGGGTAACCACATGTTTGTGTTTCTTGCTCCCTGACAGCTTACAAAACAGGCACAAATGCAGAGTAGAAATTAAGTCTCAAAAGTGGAAAAATTACATTTGTGTTGAGAGACAACAAATTAAAAAACAAAACAAAAAAAAAACTTCAAATTTTACGAGTGATTTTCTTCAAGGTAAATAAAAATTTGGGGGCAGTTTAACAGTAAAAGTCTCCAGTAAAACTTTTAAACTCAATGTTAATTGAAAACAATTCAGATTTTTTTTTAAACTGACGTGTAATATTAAAAAATAAAAAATAAACTCAGTGTTGGCTCGCAGATACTTCCAGTCGGAGCGGGCCTCGTGGTTTTAAAGAATCATTAACTGTCAAGTGAAACGTAACCCAAACTCTGCTTCATCAATACTCTCTTTTCATTTCACATAAAACCTTTGTGGCTTTTTAATAGCTGCTGTTACACAACCACCATCTGCTGCCTGAAGCTGACCTGATGCTCTTTTTACACYGAACTGCTGCCATCAACATGTTTGTTTTGCACAAATTGATTCCCGCTGTCATAAAGTCATCATTCGGTGCAGTTTTTGAGGTTGTGGTGTTGTGTTTTGATTATACAAGCCATTATGAAGAGCATTAATGTGGCTGGAGCGGGTTCTGGGACGTGGAGAACCTCAGCTCTTTGTTATGGCGGAGTTAAAACTCTGCCTTTGCCTGACTGGAGCTACACCTGTTTTCTGTTTGCTGCCTCCACGCCATCACTGGAGACGTGTTTGCATATTCAAAAACAGACGYGTGTTACCCGTCAAAAAGCAAATCTTACATCACTTACTTTGAGAAAGCTGTCGGAGGATGTGGCACGGCTCAACGAGACTCGGCTTTGATGATCTGAAGAGATTCCGCTTCTCTGAATGCGAGCGTCAGGTGGAAATGTGCCTGAAAAATCAACACAGACGGAGGAGATATGAAATGACAGCTGGGGAAAACTCAACACCCCCAGGTTCTAGATGTTCCGTGGTACAGATGCTACTTCCACTTATTCAATAAACACCATTACTTTGGGCAAGTGCCGTGCATTTTTACCAGRGGTGGGCGGTATGTCTGATATAGATGGCATTTCATGCATTGTTGCTACTTTATTAGGAGTTTAACTTTTCCCATGCTCTTCTAGAGCTCACAGTTTACTTCTCAAAGCCTGCGGACCCCCTATTTACTGAAGAAAACCAGACGCAGGTTTCACCCGAGAGCTGTTAGATTTGACAAAAAACAAAAAAAGTTAATCTCAATCTATATCAAATGGTACAGTTTGACAATTTACTGCAGTAGTTTTACAGTTAGTTCAATTTTTGTGTTTGGTTGTTTATTGTTGTGCCCTGGAGGACAGTTTTTATCTTTTTATTTTTTGTCTTTTGTCCCAGTGAATTAATTGACTAAATAAGGATTAATATATCGCAATGAAGCTCAGAAATACTGTGGTACTACTTTCTGGTAACCCAGCCCTAATTTCTATGCTGGTGAAATAAACTGAAAGCTGTGATTAAATGACCAATTTTTAACCATATCAATGTTCAGCAGAAGAGTGAGGCTCGTGATCAAACCGTCCACCTAACTGTTTATTGTTTAGGATGCCCATTAGCTGGGCCTTACACCACAGCTACTCCTCCTGGGGTCCATCATTAAAAATAAATACATATCATACAATAAAACAGGTGACAAGAGTAACAGTTCATTTATAAAAATTACACATTTATAAAAAAATACAATAATTTACCATTTCATTTTATAAATAAGTTGCTCCAACATTCAATCTCTTTTTAAAAAGTAACTAAAAGTTCCATTCTTTTCACGCTCTGTAAGTAAAGATGCATTTAAGAAAATTAGTTTTTGCCGAAAGAAGTCGAAACCATCCTTCAGCTGTATGTCTGCTAGCATCCATGTAAGTTTAAATTATTCTTTAACTGGACAAACAAAAAGTCTGGACTTTASAGTTTTAAGATTTTCCATGTTGTGAATAATAGTGAAGCTAACGTCTTATCATAAACCTTTAGGCAGTGCACGGTWTTTACACTAGTCCTGTAAGAAGAATTCACAGCTTAACAAGCAGCTTTATTCTTATTCAGTCTAATTTAATCTAAATCTTTTTTTTTCTTGTATTTGCCCATATTGTCTGAAAATAATCAAGCTGAGAAATAATTAATGTTCTTACATGTGCTTATTCAAACCAACTGGGACTTGGGAAAAATGAGTTCTTAAATCTGAGGAATGTTGAGCAACTTGTCAAGTTGTTTTTGTATTGCTTAAAATAAATTGTGCAAATGACTATATGATAAACTGAAGTCGTATTGTAATTAATGGATGCATTGACAGTTAGTCGTCACGTAGCTAATTTGGATGAAATCATATTAATCTAACAGTGACCCAAGTCGTCATGGAGTCCTTATAAACACAGACACATGGCTGTACACAGAAGTGTGAGGAAATAAGGAGGAAATGAATGGAAAATGGACACATCATGTAAGATTATGACTTTTTTCTCATAATTTTACGATTTTAATCTCATAGTAATATGACTTTATTCTTGTAAAATTACGACTTTAATCTCATAATATTATGACTTTATTCTTGTAATACTACGATTTTAATCTCGTAATATTATGACTTTATTCTTGTAAAATTACGACTTTAATCTCATAATATTATGACTTTATTCTTGTAATATTACGATTTTAATCTCATAATATTATGACTATTCTTGTAATATTACGATTTTAATCTCATAATATTATGACTTTATTCTTGTAAAATTACGACTTTAATCTCATAATATTATGACTTTATTGTCATAATGATAATGAAAAACAATCTCGGCCCCAATATTCCATCGTAATTATTAAACTATTGTCTTGAAGAAATTTATTGGGGTTGTTTACTACTGATTTTTAAAAGCACCACACATTCTGTAGTCTTTTCTTAGGTGAATAATGATATCTTTATTGTGTGATTATTTTTGTGATTATATTGATGATTTTATGAACAGACTGGGCTGAGTGGCTGTCAAAGATGGTTACACAGAGCAGGAGGTACATATAGGTAATATACATGCCTGAAAACACTTACAACACTTGATTGAACCGAATGTTTTAACACAATGACAGGAAATACGTATGGGGACCTGATTTCAGCCATAGGCTGGCCCATGTGAATGACGTAATGWCAAAGGCGGAGTCAGGTCCTGAAGAAGGTTATAAAATGATCACCGCTTCCTGGATACTTGGCTGAATGCACAGAGAGAGCATTAAATCCTGTGGTTCAGTCCAGAGCTGTAAAGAGTTTTTTCCTCACATTTTAACCGTTCAAACATTGGTGTACTTTCTATCTGGTTATGAACACAGAATGAAGTAAACAAACACATATAATTTCTTTACAGTCTGATATCCATTGCTCTACAATTTCCAATTCATGATTTAACACTGATGTCAAATCAGATATTGATTTTGCAGACACACTGTAGTATCATCAGCATACAATGTAATTTTGCATTCTTTAATGTAAGATCATTTGTAAAAACAGCGTACAAAAGGGGACCAAGGCAGCTGCCTTGTGGTATTCCACAGTCCACCAACAGTCTTTTTGAAAAACCACCATTGAAGTACACTCTGATCTATCGGACAAATAAGTTTTCATCAATGTAAGAGCTGATGGTTTAAAACCGTAGAGCTCAAATCTTTCTAAAAGCACTCTATATTTAATCACATCAAATGCTAATGGCTTTTCAAAAATCTTGCTTAGAGATGATAACAGTTTATTGGCCTACTGTTAGAACCACAGAAAGGCTTTTTATTATCMTTATAAAACATTTAAATTACAGAACTAAACCAGAATAAAACATCTGATTTGAGTTGAGTTGAGCTATTTTTGAGCTGTGTGATATCCTTTTAATCAATGCAGACCATACGGACAGACACTTCTTGAGATGTTATTCTTTTTACCTCCATGTCCAGCCTCGATAGTGGAGCAGAAGTGGTGGTGCCAGATGCATCCGTGCCTTGATGGGGAGGAATGCAAAGTTCTTCCAGATCTGAAGGGCTGGAGCTGCGCGACAGGGAACAAGATCAAAACCACAAAGGTGAGACTTAAAAAAAAAACACAAACAAGCCTGTCTCTTTATTGACGCCAAAAATCCAACCTGTTGAAACTGGTGTAACCACTCTTCAAGGTCAACGAGCTGTGATTTCTCCTACTGTCGCCTCTGCCTTTAACTAAAAAGGTTTGTGTTTGCAGCCTGTGCTAGGACCCCTCGGGGACCTCTAATCAATGGGCTGCCATGTCTCCTTAGCACTTTCAGGCCACTCTGAGCACCCAAACTGGCCAATTACTCACTCCAGTTACTTGCTTTTAACTTTGTAACACGATGCCTGTATCCTTCAGTGTGTTATGACTACCCGTAGACTTCAGTTCTGCCTCTCTCCATGTACTTAATTATTTAAACTGCCTGCACCACACCACACCTGCCTGGAGCCGGGAGCCTGGAGCCTCGGGCTATCGATTCGCGGACTGGTCGGGACCTCAAAATGGAATATACATAGCATGTATATTTTTATATATATACACACACACTGACAAAAAGTGGCAAGCACCCAGATGGAGCGGTGGAAACAGTGTTGAAAGGTCAAGTGACTGTATTGTAAATATAATGTCAGATGACATGGATAATGGAGTTGGCATGATGGGTACACTTTGGATCCTGTCGGTGTGGCGTGGCGCTCCCTCGGGCCTAAATACAGGCAGCAGATCCTAAATTCTACCGATTAACATTACGATTTACCCCTGAAGTCTGTGGACAGATGACCAATTTAAAGAATGTTTCAACTTGTGTCAAAAGTGCAGACTTCAAATTATACACAAGTTTTTAAATTGTGTTGTTTGGCCAAGTAAAACCAGAGTTATGATAAATAACTTGGGCATTTTACTTTATGAAATGTTATAGTTGAAACGTTGCAGTTCATGGAAAAACACCTCAATCCACCCTCTGTTCCCCCGCCGAACTAACATATAAAACCCCAAACTCCTTTCTGATTGAGCCCTGAAATTATTTGACAAGCGTCAAAAAAATCAACAGGAAGAAGAAAATAAAATGAGGCGAAAGCTGAATGAAGTTTGGCAGCAATGGAGACATTTATGATACTTAGCATGTTTGGATCCTATAGTTAGGACGTTTGAGTCAAACCAACGAGGCGGTTTTTGAATGTGGAGCTGCCGACCCAAAGACGGATCGAGTCGATCAGAATCTTTTCAGACAAAAAAGGGACACTCAAAAACAGAGATGGAGGAGAAAAAAACAGTCTGAGACAAAGGCTGTGTCTCAGTTCATAGGTTGCAGCCAACATGAGCGGCCTACGGCCCACGTAGACTGTGGACAACGTGAACCGCAGTCTATATCGGCTGCAACCCATAAAGTGAGACACAGCGAGGACTTTGACGAGAAAGTAGGTGAAACGTTCTTGCACTAATCGTGTTAATCACAAAATATTAATGAGCAACAGTTTTTCCTGACGATTAATTGCGCACAATACAATTTTGCCCAATCCTAGTCCAAAGACACGTCTGTGTCCTATTTGAGGGACTGATGGAACCCAGATGCAGTTTCCACAGCGCTGTACCATCAAGGTCCAATGAATCAGTATTAGATGGTAGGATTGGTCGACTCCCATGAAATGACGCTGCTCATCACCGTTTGGTATTTCTTGATCACCTGGAGTTGTTTAATCAGGAAATACCAGTCATCAAGATACAGTCTGAGTCCTGATGCATCAGTACTCCAGGTAGAAACATTTAAACAGTAAGTAAGTCTTCTCAGCGGGTTTTTCTTTAATGTTGATCAATAAAGACAAAACTGTCCAGAAGACTTAACTTATCTGGGTGTTTTAAAGAGTTAAATGTTTGTGTATGGATGACAGGTGAGGACACAACAACACTTCTCAGGTGTGGTTTGGATAACCAGAGGCCTCACGTACCCAGTGGTTCTGTATGCCCCACATGCTAGACCACAATATGCCCCTTATTAACTCTATTAAGTCCTGGTAATCCTGCTTAACGTACCTACAAGCCATCTGTCTCTACCAACCTTCACTTGCTGCTTTGAAATGCTCTGGCAACTGCCTGATAACTTATGTTCCACTAAACTAAATGTCTTTTGTCTTATCTTATTTTGGCAGATTTCTGCTGACAGAGACCAGCTTTGGTAACCCCAGATGCTCCACAACAAAGCCCGGGTGATTATTCTTTTATTTTTCATTTTTACCCGACACGTGAAAAATGAAATCCTCCACCATGAATCATTAATGCAGCCTAGAATTACTTCATCGTCAAGTTTCTGAAGATCAATTCATAGCGTAACCACACCGGAGACAGCGACACGGAGGGGAATCTGACCCAAAACACAAACAAAACTGTTCAAAGAATCGTCGTTGGCCCGGCAGGTCCACCTTTGAACTCCACCAGAGAAGCAACTTATTTCAGTTTCTAATCTCTCCGCAGGCTGATCGCAGCAGCAGCAGCTCTTCCTCACCTCTGAATAGATTTTTTTCTTCCCTCAGCTTCACTCACCTCTGCGACTCGGTATCAATCACACACGCTGGAAACGCTCCGAGAACCCAGAACGTAAAGCAAAGCCRTGACTGGCTATTAGAAAGCCCGGGGCCAGAGTCAGAGCGATGCGCTGAAACTGACGTGCTGAGAATTTTGCACATTTGAAGGCTGAAATGGAAGCGAGGAGGTAACAGTTTAAACTAGTTCTTTTCTACGGATAAATAGAGAAATCCTCAAAGAGGACATCACTAACCTGTGCTGTCTGTGGTGCTTTTCACCGCAGGGAGAACACAATAAAACCGATATCTGTCTGCTGCTGTGTGTTTTAAACCTCACCTTCTATTACGACCTTTGCTCTTGGCTCATTATTAAAACATTAAAATCTTTGACAATAAAACAGTCTTTGGAAGTCTGTTTGAGGTCTGAGGTCTGTTTGAGGTCTGAGGTCTGTTTGAGGTCTGAGGTCTGTTTGAGGTCTGAGGTCTCTTTGAGGTCTGTTTGAGGTTTCATTTGGGAAGAGTTAAAGACTCAGCAATTCTTCAAATAACGCATATCACTCCTTTCACAGCTGTTTTATGATAAAATCATAAGTTTATCCATCCAACCATCCATCCATCCAACCATTAAACTATCCATCCAACCATCCATCCATCCAACCACTAAACCATTAAACATCCATCCATCCATCCATTCAACCATTAAACACTAAACCATCCATCCATCCATCCATCCATCCATCCATCCATCCATCCATCCATCCATTAAACCATCCATCCATCCATTCATCCATCCAACCATTAAATCATCCATCCATCCATCCATCCAACCATCCATCCAACTATTAAACCATCCATCCATCCATCCATCCATCCATCCATTAAACCATCCATCCATCCATCCATCCATCCCTCCAACCATCCATCCAACTATTAAACCATCCATCCAACCACTAAACCATCCATCCAACCATTCAACCATCCATCAGACTGCAACTATACAGAAAGGTCACGATTCGGTTCAGTTCGATACTGTAGTCTCATGGTTTAATATTTTTCGGTACAAAAAGTGAAATGTTCATGCTCTTCTTAATTTGTAATTTATTGAAATTAATTATGAACATTTGTTTAACCTCAAAATTCCAGTTTTTAAATTAAATGTTGCTGAAACAGCAAGTTTAAAAACTGTATTTTTGAGGTTAAACAAATGCACATAACTAATTTCAATAAATTACAAGTTAAGAAGAGCATGGAAATTTCTATTTTTTGTACCGAAAAAATATCAAACCGTGAGACTAAAGTATTGAATTGTGATTTTTTTGTTGTAATATTCTGCAGTGTTCCCTGTATTAACTACAGTGAAGCCATCATGGTTCAACCTAAAAAATAAAGTTCTGCAGAGTTTCCGACGGTTCCTGAATCCTCGGTCTGGGCTCGTCTCAAACTTTAAAATCCTCACACTTCATTTTCAGTTCAGCTCTTTTTAGCTTTTCCTTCTCTTCCTCTGGTTGTTGCACCATCTGCCTCCACGCTACGATACTGAAACTCAGAAAGAACAAACCTGACACAGATGGAGCCATCACCGCTTCACCGTAACACAGAACCATCAACCTCTTTAGCAGTATGCGGCWGTAACGCCATCATTTCTAAGATGGCGGGCGACATGCATTCCTCCAGTATTACTCATTTTAAAGGACTGACTGTGGCGTAAAATCTTCAGGAGAAAAAAAAAGCCTCGTCATGCTCGTTATGTCACAGAATATATTGCTCAGAACGAGGCGGCAGCGTGCCAATTACACGGCTGGAACACGCAAACACAATCCCCGCACCTGCTGCGTTAAACCTTCCACTTCCAGCTCTGAAGGGAAATTACTGCTTCGCCACTTAAATTACGGCTCGTCAGCTACCAATTAAACAAACGCAACACCCAGGGAAGACTTCTTCCTTTCCTGTYGGTATTTTTAGCTTTGTTTCAGACAGTTCCTCAAATACTCTTAATGATTTCACCCCTCGTCGTAAAGCGAGACGCCGTATAGATCGATCCTCGGAGACGTTTTTTTTTCTTCCTGTTCTGACAACGAGCAGCTCAGCTCTTTGTCTGTTCAGCCTGAAATTATCCTCAAATTAGTCCCACATTAATCACTGCTACAGCTTGGAATGATTCAGCGAAAAAAAAAAGATTTGTTGCAACTTCAATTCTTCAAACCTAAACAGAGTTGTAAAGTAACTAAGTACAAATACTTTGTTACTGTACTTACCATAAGTAGAATTATTGAGTATCTGTACTTTATTTAAGTAAATATTTTAAGCCTATTTTTTACTTCTACGCCTCACATTTTTAAAAAAGACAAGAAGTATAAAGTCGTTACTTTTATTTCATTTTCACTTGTTTTCATTCCAGTTTCATACTGTATATATAAAAACTATCCATATAAACTGAGCCTCCTAGATAGAGTGAATTTAACTGTGGTTGAATGAGAAGTATAAATATATAAAACTCTGACAGCGTATTAGTTTGTACACAAACAAATCATGTCACACTTCAGCAGGACATAATCATTCAAATAAAAGTACTGTACTTAAGAAGTATTTGTACTTCATGAATTATATTATTACATTTGGCCGCAGCCCTCAGATAGATTTTCATTT